ACCAGAGAGGATGGGCCCCAGAAGGCAGGATGGGGCACGGGGAGCAGTGGATGAGGGAGTCCCTCCCAGAGGGCACCATCAACCCCCGACATACACCTTGCAGGGAGGGGGCCTCACCCCCCTGCCCCACAGTATTTCATCATCCAGGGCCCAGGGCCTGCTGTCTCATTCTTTTCCCAAGTGGCAGTTTCCACTGCAGTTGTCCTGTCCCTGCTTCACCAGTGAATGGGCACTGGGAGTGGGGTGTGGACTGGTGGGGAGGACAGCTGAGCTCCGAGAGAACCGAGAGCTGGGTGGGAAGTGGTTGAGAGGCACAGATAAGGCGGGGACCCCACACCCTTCACTGTCCCTCCCCCCCCCCCCCAGCCCGGCCACGGTGGCCACTGCCCGCCTCCTCTGGAATGAGGCTGTGTTGTGACCTGAGTTCTGGCTACGGAGGCAGCAGTTCTGGGTGTGACTCACCTCATGAGGTCTGCACTCCTCCCCCTGAGGCCATCTGTCTCGGGGACGACGGGTCCGAGGTGGCAGCGTGGCTGGCAGGAACGCCCGCTGCCAGTGGTCGTGCTGGGCCAGGAGCCAGCAAGGCAATTCTGGACTGAGCCCCCTGACTGCAGCGGCCGGCTCCCTGGGCGGCAGCAGGTCCCACAGGGGACCGGCACACCCAGAGCGACAAACAGCTGGCCACCTCTGTCCCCTCACCTCCGTCCTGGCCTCCCTGCAGGAAGGAGAGGGGCAGCAGTGAGTACCACTGCCCGCCTCAGCTCAAGGGCCCTGCGTCCCAGGGCCTGTGTTCCAGGGCCCTTCCAGACAAGTCCCTCCATGCTCCCCACTCCCACTGGATGGCAGGGGGCCCGGGGGGCTTTGGAAAGCCACGTGTAGTGGCCCTGGGTCCTTAGGTGATGGCGTGAGGGCTGCCCGCCAACCCACTCCCCCTGTCCCGTGTTACGTCAGCCAAGAAAGTTCTTCTGTGTTCAAGCCATCATACATTTCTGGGTCTGTTTATTACAGAACTAGCATGACCCTAATACAATCATTGCTAAATGGCCGTAATACATCTCTTCTGTATTTGTACATAAATTTTATTCACCGAAGGAATGTTCTTTATTCTCAGGGCTCTAAATTTTCAGAACTGAAACGTGGGAAGTTAAGGGTGCGGCAATGCAGAGGGTCGTCTGTGAGGTAGCTGCTGAGGTTGTCGGCAGCATGGCTGCGGGGAGCTGGAGCGCGGAGGCCGGGCTCTCCACCTGGGATTGGTCTGCCCAGGGAGCTCGGCGGGCCTACGTCTCAGCGGGGGTCAGCGAACTACAGCCCACTGCCATCTGGCCCCATCCAGCATCCAGCCTCACAGCCCTCAAGCTAAGAATGCTTTTTTTTTTTTCGTACATTTTTCCAACCAAGAAGAATATGTGACAGAGACTTTATGCAGCCCGCAAAAATATTCACCGCCTGGCCCACATCCTAAAGGGTTGCTGTGAGGGTTATAGACAGTTGTGCCTGGTGCCCGGCCTGACATAATACAAGGTGATACATGCAATACAGCTGTTGATTTCTCCAAAACCAAACCGTCACGGAACCAAATTTTGCATTTCTTCTAGGTGAACAGTCTCTCCTTCCCTTCAAAAAAAATAGCAACCACACAAAAACCACAAAGAGCAACAACGGCTTGATTATGACCATGAGACACTTCACACAGAAAAGGCTTCTGGCAGTCCAGCTTCACAGAGGAAGGAAAGACACATCCCCCACTTCCCCCTCTACAGCAGATGGGCCTGGTGGTAGCAGACCAGAGCTCAGGACACTAAAGCACGACTCAGTTTATTTAACACGTTAAGAAAGACTTGGACGTTTTAAAAGTAGAAACGAGACTTTAAGTGGATATTCGAAAACGTAAAGCTGATTGAGGGAGAGTATTAACACAGGTTTTTGAAATAACACGACTTTGCAGTGTGAACGTCACTTCCAATGGAGATCTTCTGTGAGACTCCGGCAGACAGGCCACAAAGCCAGCCTCTCAAAATGCGATTAGATGAATCGTGTTTTCAAATGAGACGCTTGGCCAGACTGGTCTGCCGATGACGTGGACTAGGTTTGGGTGTAACTGACACCTTGCTGAAACAGTGTTTCCCAAAGCGCGCCTGCAAACCTTGGGCCTTGGGGTGGGCAGGGAGGGTTGCTGTGAGTATGCAAGTGTCTCGGGGCAGGAACACTCTAGGGCCTGAGCAGTTGGGAAGACACCACTACACTCCCCTCCTGGGGAGTCACAATGAACAACAGCATGTGAAAGGTTCCGAGTGTGAGAGACTGGGGACTGCTCAGCCGCGACGAGTGTGACAGCATGCGTGTGACCACAGGGGGAACACGGTGCTCAGTGTGACGCTGTGGATGTGCCGTGGGTGTGCAGCTGTGGGGTCAGCATCAACGACACCCCGAGAACCTGGGTTTCCCTCCCAAGGTGTCCACAGCTCTTGCTTCAAGACATGTGACTCAATGTCATTAAAAAGCTGCAATCCTTGTGTTACAACCACTCTCAAGGTGACCAGCCAGCTCATAAGGTTAACGTTTGGCAGGGAAATCACAGTATAAAGGTACTCTGTTTACTCGCAGACGTTAGAAAAAGGCAGAAGGGTCAATTCTCGCCCATTTCAATCAATGAGAACCAAGCAAGACTCTGCTGTTGTCATGGCTGGGCTGTCTACCTGGAACGAAACCCAGCAAGCCATTTGTGTGGTTTCTCTGGATAAGTTCCATTTATTAATTATTGTACAAAAAATCTTGGCATTCATTGGAAGAGAAAAGAAGTTACTATATCCAAAGAGTGAGTATTTCAACATTGTGAAAGTTCTACTATTATAACAGGGCTTTTTTTTTTAAGTGGAGAAAACATTTGGAAAAATTTTAAAAAGAAACTTATGATTTATTAGAGTACAGGATCCAAAACACGTTTTTAGAAAAATATAAAGTGCCCAAAGACCAACTTACACAGGTGACACAGGCTTCCTGGAGCCAAATGAAGCATTCATGAAGAAACACATTTAGAAACAGTCTAGATACATATTTACATCGGGTCAATAAAGGTAAAACCATCTTTCTTGGCTTTGATGTTACTCTAAGAAAAAAGGAAATCAAACCAGAAAACCAACAATTTTAACTCTCAGCATGCGCCACAGATTCTTAGTAATGCATCTCATTAATATTAATGCCATAGTATCTAATTTTCACCTTTAAATGAGAGTAGTGTAAGAGGCCCCCAACCTTGGGCAGGCTGGGTGCTGTGAGTGGTCACGATTTCCAATGCGCGTCCAGACCATCTAACTCTGGACTGGACCGTGAGGAACACAGGCCCACACCAGAGCTAACTGGGGCGGGAAGGAGCTGGCCGGCCAAATGCCCATCCCTCTCTGGTACTCGCTCAGGACTGTCACAAGCTGGGAAGCGGTCTCAGGCGGCTTCTCCAAACCTCAGTCATCCTGGCGTTTCCGAGGGGCAAACGAGAGGCGGTCACCAAACGTAGTGTGGAAATACTGCATGCAGAGGGACAGGCGGGCGGCGAGGCGTGGCTGGATCACGGCCCCCAGAGCTTTATTCACTAGAGCAACTGGAAATCTTTTCAACTTGAGAGCAGAGTAACTAGGTCCTAACTTCAGAAGTGAGCTACTACAGGTTAAGTACAAGGCTGGCCCACTGGAGAAGGGGTGGGGGGAGAAAGGTGGGAGTCCAGAGCTGCGTTAGGACAAGGAACCTTCCTGCTTGGGTACCGTGAACGTGGAAAAGATGGGTGCCAGCAGCATCTGGGTATGGAGCCGGACTCCCGGGGGCCTGAGCACAGACTTCTTCCTGGTGCTGTCATGGCAATGGTGACTCGAGAATGCTGGCCACGCTGTCTCCTTTCCCACTGAGCTCATGCTCTCAAACCGGAGATATTTCACTTACTTCTACCCTGCCACATTCAAAAAGGTCTTGAAATGATTCTAAGGGAGAACAGGGAGCATGAGACCTCCCCTTCCCTTTTTAATTTCTAAGCTTCATTATTTCTTCTTGTTTCTGGTTATAAAAGTAAAACCTCAATTTCAGGTCTTTGGAGACCATGGAGCACGGTTTCTAAAAAGCAGACATTTTAACAGCAGTATTTTCCTACCACAAAGAGAATTCATTGCTGATTTAAGATCTACTTATGAAACTGGAGTAGATTAAAAAAAAAACCCCACTTATTTTTAAGGGAGGAATAGTAGATGAAAGTGGGAAACCCATTCACAAAGATTATTACTATGCATTTTTTCAAATAATTTTATGTAATAAAATTTAAAAACCTAATGATTCTTAAGAGAAATGAGGGTAAATCCAAGAGATAAATCTGGGAAAGCAAAACTGTGTCATGTGCTCAATTCATACAAAGAAAAAGATAAAATGCCGGAAATCTGTTTCAAAAATTGGGAAAAAAAAATTAGAATGATTCTGACTACTGTTAGTTTGTTAATGACTCCAGATCCACTATGTGGCCAAGATCACTTAGGGCTTCAGCCCTGGGTAAAAAGACAGACCATCCTGACTGAGGAGTGCACACAGTTCACAGAGAGATCAGAGTAGAACGACTGCCAACGGACAACTCCACCCGTCCGGCAAGCGAAACGCTCTGAGACGATGTAGACAGACGCGATGCGGGGTGGGGAGGGGGGTGTGAGGAAAAAGAACGGTTGAAAGTGTCAATGGTGAGACGTCATGAAGACAGCATGTCACAAACGATCACCACAGGACAAGCATACAAGCCATGCCACTGAGACAGTGCCTTTCAAATGAATCACTAGTGTAGGCGGAGAGCAACACTGTCTTTGCAGCTGGCGGAGAGCACACGTGATTTCCACTTGGTAGGAGGCAACCAGCACGACCGGTCGAGTGGCCTTCCCGGTGGTGGGTCCAGAGGGATCCAGGGGCATGCCTCCACCCGGAACCCCATCATCTTGGAAAAGAGCAGCAGCAGCAAAGGTCCTATGTCCCCCGAGACGTTACTCCACGCTCTCTTTCTTCGCACTGTAAATGTTCTGCACCGTCTCATACACAGCCTCCAGGTCCTCCGGGTACCGGACCTCCAGCTCTGCGTTCGGGATGTAGTGAGTGCCCGTGAACTCTGAGAAGTAGCGGCCAACATCGGGGTGGGAGATCTCCTGCGGCTCCACGTTATACTCCAGGTTCTCTGTGGGCAGAGATGCACACAGACACCCTCGTTAGAACTGGTTTGCCTGCAGCATCTCTTATCCAGAGCGCCTCTGGAGAAATCTCTGAGGGCATTGTTGAGGTTGTGGGGTGGGGGGGCGGTTGGAAGAAACAGATGTTTTTGGAAGTTGGGAAGGAAGAGGTAGAAGGTGGGGGGGTGGGGCACGGGAGGATGGAGGCAGGGGGTACAGAGCCCAGAACACCAATGTTTTCCTCCTCTCTGAGTGGAACTCCAGCAGCCCCCCCACGTCTGCACGCTGGAGGTGCAGAGGGCTTGTCTCACCTGATCCAACACACACACAGCGGGCCGAGGGTGTCCTGGCCTGCTCTGTTGTCTCCGGTGAAGTTTCTGAAGCCTTCACAGCACCAGGTCACAGGCCTCCCCCTGCCCCTGCCACTCCTGAACACCCTGCAGTGCTGGCTCCTGCTTCTGAGGGTGAGGGCCCAGCTCCCAGGGCTGATGTGGGGTCCAGGGAGGAATGGAAAAGCGGCTTGTGCCTCTAGACCCTAGAGGGTAGGGGTTATGCCATCTGTATCAGCTCTTAGGAACACCACGCCCCTTCCCTTCCCTGCTCCATGTTTTGCCACTAGAGACGACAAAAGAAAATGACTCCTTTAAAATGGAAATAAGGAAAAAAAGAGGCGACAGCACATGTGAAGTATTTTAAAGACCGACATCCTTTCAGATGGCTTCTCCCTCCCCAAGCTATCTGAGAAACAGCTCCTCCAAACAGCTCCTCCGTGGACCCAATGAGAGGGTTGTAGGCCCTTCCCTGCTGGCTGCGGAGGCCTGACCTAGACTGGTTGTGGGCCCCCAGCCAGGAGGGCCCAGCCCCGTCCTCCATGACCTGGACTAGAAAGCAGCTGGCCAGGCAGGCCTGCGTGCTCTGACCGCGTCCCAGGGTGCTCTTGGTTCTGATCAACAAGAGCCACAATCAATTCAGGGAGTCCTTGCGCACGCCGTCGACAGGCTAACTCACACCAATGGTGCAGCACGTTCTCCCTTCCATAGCTCGTTCAACATCCTGAAACACACCTGCAGGCCCTTCGGCGCCCCCCACCCCGAGAACATGGGATAAACACCACGCGATAAACACGAGTGCCTCCCAGGAGCACTGCCTGTAACTTGTAACTGATGCTTGTCTTTAATGAGAGGGGGAAAGAGTTTGTAATTCAATCTGTAACATAGTTCTTTAACCCAAGAAGGAAGATTTAGAGAACTTCTGTGCTTATAGCTGTTTAAGGCTGATTCTTCCGGTTACGTGGGGACATACCAGTTTGAGAAATCACATACCAATCACAAGCAAAGACGGATATCCACAGACTACCTCAGCACTGCTCAGGAGAGCAAAAGAAAAGAAAGGCAGCAACAGTCTACACGTCCACCCGCAGGTCACTATGTAAATAAACAGCTGCACGTTAACTCAGCACGTCCCAGGCAGCCAGGAAAACGAGCAACCTGTGTTCCAGACGCGACGGGGGAAGCGGGAGTGAAAACACGTCTTATAAAAGGCTAGGAAGGCCGAACACCTGTGCTGCTACGTGACACGTGCCACAAAGCTGCACATTTTAAGTGACGTCTTTTAAACTGGACATGTAGGGTGCGTGAGGCACCACGGGACCTGCCGGGGCTCCAGCTCCTGCGACCCTCACAGGGCTCCGCGAGGGGCTCCGCGAGGGGCTCCGCTCATGACGCCCTCTAGCGGCTGAGCCAACAGCAGCCGGGGCTGGGGAAGCAGACCAAGAGTGGGGTCCCCGTGCACTGTCCCGCCGGCAGCGGCCAGGGAGGACGGGCTGGGACAGACCGCAGGGCCTGGACAGGCTGCCTCGGAAGGCAGGCTGCGGGACGATGCTCTGCAAACAGGCGCCCGGGGAATCCAAGAGAAAACTGGGGGCTTTGCTAACTCTGGTTTCTCACTGGTGTGGCCACCAGAGTGTGGAGATGACTTCACTTCCTTCTTTACACTTATTTTCGACATTAAAACAAACTTGGACTTTCTAAAACGTCACTGGCTGAAAAAAAAACTGCTGTCCTGCCTACATGGCCCTCCTGCAGTGAGCGAGGGGTCACGGGCATACCTGCCTGGGGGAGGCCCACGGGGACGCGAACACGGCCACGGGCCCTGAGCAGCTGCTTCCCCGGTGGCTTTTCTTGCCCCAGAGATGGTCAAGGGATGGCAGGGAATCTGGGATCACCAACAAGAGATCAAAGTCCCTTTTGTTCTCATCTGGGGGCCATTCTGCCTCAGACAGGATGCTTGGCAATGTCTGAAGACATTTCTGGCTGTCATGATCGGAGCCTGTCATGATCTCGTGGGCAGGGGCCAGAATGCACAGGACATCCCCCCAACACAGAGCTGTCTGGACCACAATGTGTCCAGCACCTGCTCTGAAGAAAGTCAGACACACGCTTCAGCATCGCTTCTTTCCCCCTCTTTTTCTAAGCATCACTAAGCAGCAGCGTGGTGTTGGCTGACACTTGGCATCTGAGTGTTGGCAGGAGGGCAGGAAGGTTGCTGTCAGGTCATGATCGCCCATCTGTTTAAGGACAGCACGACTGGGCAGTTGCACGGAATTCTGAACACGGGCCCAAAACAAGAGGCATTAAGAGTACAGACAGGAGGCCGGGGAAATCAGGAAGGGGCAGTGACAGTCCACAGGGTGCTCACAGCCCTGCTGTAAGCTGTCAACCAGGAGCACAGACTGAATGTGGTGTGTCTGCCTGCCTGGGCTCCCAGCAAAACAGGAAAACTGTACTAACAAAAGACACTTTTTTTAGGAGAAAACCAGACACTGAAGTTGGCAGCTATGAGTTATGAGGGGAAGATAATTCCCAATCCACTGTATGAGTTTAAAAAATTCTTTTGAAGTTTTAAAAAAATTTTAAGGAAGAAGTCTAAGTGAAATACAACTTGAGAGAAAAATATTAAACAGGGACTACTTAAAATGCCTGGAAAAATCGTGGGAAGAATTTGATTCCCCCAATATTTTCTGAGAAATGTTTCTGATTTTATTTAAAATTTTCAGCTACCTACATCAAAGGTACATCATTTTCAGCATACCTCCCTGTAAAAGCCTAGAAGCAGTACCCCTGAGTCCTCTGGGGGCACCTGTCAAGCCCTCCCAAGAGGGCTTGGTCAGCCAGCACCACGCTGCTGCTGAGTGATGCTTAGAAAAAGAGGGGGAAAGAAGCGATGCTGAAGCGTGTGTCTGACTTTCTTCAGAGCAGGTGCTGGACACACTGTGGTCCAGACAGCTCTGTGCTGGTCCAACACAGGGATGTCCACTAGGACTGCGGGTCTAGCTTCTCAGTCCTTGTATAAACACATATACACGCAGTCAAATATACCTACATGTACTCAGAAGGTAACTCCATGTTGTCTCACGTGTTTATTCATACAAAGCATACAGTAAGCACTGACCTGCGGGTGGTTTATTCGGCTGAAGCTTAGCATCCCCAAGTTTGGATACACCTCCACTGACCAGGCGAGTACCATGCCTGACACTGTTTCTCTGTCGTAACAAGGGGACCGCAGGCCCCCTGTGTGAGGGCGTCTCTAGTGGAGGGACCGACTGGGGTAGCTGCCAGGTCAGAGGAAAACAGGCACTTGAGATTTTGACAACTTAAAAGACAGCACCAAACCGCCCTCTAAGGTGGCTGCAAATTTACACCCCAGCCCTGACACAGGGAATCATCACAGTTAACAGCGTGTGCAGGCTAACTCAGGTTGTGTCTGGGGGGGGGTGGGGTGGGGGCTATGGAGGAAACTAGTTTGGAAGTGGAGGACAAATCATGGAAAATGAAACTGACGCTGGGTGAGGGCACACTTGGACCCAAGCATTCAACCAGGTGCTTTACCATCACACACGAAGCATGCAAAAACCAGGTTTTCACAGCACAGCCTAATTCCTGACTTTGCAATGTGGCACCTGGCTTACATTCAGAGCATCTGTGATAGTCACTTTCTCCAGATCTAAGAAGTATGCAGGGAAGCCGAGACAGGAGTTCCTGGTATCAGAAAAAAACTAAAGCATGCCCCCTAGTGGTAGCAAAATTATAAACATGCAAAACGCTGTAGAGCCTATTAAAATACTGATGGAAAACATCTCTTAATGCTGCAGGCTAAAACTATTTGAGGATGGCGCACACATATGTGGCTTATAACTCACTCTTCAACTCTGTGGAGAGTGAAGAGAAAGGCATTCATTAATGGGCTCTGCCCAGATTACTAGGATCAATGCAGCCAAAGGTTGAAAATTTAGAAGATGAAAGTTTAAAAATAATTTAATGCAAATATATTAGCCCAGAAATGTTCAAAAATATATTTAAATAAGTGCTTTTAAAATGTAGCCTCTCAAGATCGCTCTCTGGCTAAATGTGGGCTAACCTGAGCATAAAATTGTTCCAAATGATTATAACACATTGACTAAACAAAAAATCCAGCAATCTTTGGGAAGGGGGGGAAGGAGAGAGGGAGAGACAGCAAGGGAGAGGAGAGGAGAGGAGAGAGAGAGGTGGCGGTGGAGAGGAAAGTGAGAGGGGGCAAAGCTATCCTTCACAGAACTAAAGGGTACACTCGCAGCAGAAAATCACCATTTTGCAACTCTCCGATCATGATTTAGGCAGGAAGAGCCAATAGGAGCTAAAACAGACACAAGGACAAAGGTCGTCGCTGGGGTACAGGTTATACCCAGGATTGGGTCAGAGTTTGACCCCACGGATTTCTTGTCAACTGCAGATGGAACACTATCCCTTACAGGGTGCCACTGTCTTGGCCAAGTGACCAAACTCCGCCTCACTGACAGTGGACGTGGAACCCCACGGCCTCTGGACGAGACGCAACATGAACCACACGGCACCCGAGGGCAAGTTCCCAGGCAAAACCCCAACTCTAACACAACCTGAGGTTAACTTCCAGTTTACAGACGACATGCAAAGGAACAGTGAGACAAATCCAGACTGTTATGACAATTTATAAGCCAATTGGTCCGGACTCTTCAAAAAGTCAAAGTCTTGTGAAAAGGGGGAGAAAGATGAGAATTAAGGAGCTGTCCTTTACCGAGAGAAGAGACATGACGACCGAACACAACCATTAGGGCGGCCGCGGGAGTGAAGGCCGGGCCTGGGAAGAACCCTGAGGAGAGGGCCGCCAGGGCAGGGCGGGAGGGCCGGCCTCCGGGGGCTACGACAGGGCTCTTCTTCAGTGCTGAACCCCAGGGCCCAGCACCCCTGGGCGCACACGTGCTGGGAAAATGTGGACCTCGGGCCGACAAAACCACTAGCAGCCATCACAGGGTGATATCCATTCTCAGTTCTAAGAGTTTCCAGGGAGTCCCAGAATTTAAACTTAAAAAGGGCAATTTGCTACCTTTATCTATGATCCTTCAACCTTAGTTTGAGAGAGTGTGAAACTGATAAGCAGATACTACATTTATTAAAAAAAAAAAGTCATTACAGTATTCTTGCAGTGAGCCTTACAGCACATGCTGACTTCAGATACGATTAGGATGCGTTCCTGAATTATTGGCACATTGGACAAATTCAGAACACCTTGAAACCAAATATCCAGCTTTACCTACTCTAAAAAGCCCATTTTAAAGTTAACGTGACTGTTTCTAGACACCCAAATATCAGATACTACAAGTCTTGATGTCAACCCCGGGTAACGGGCAGCGACTGGATAAGGTGCGGCTGAGACACTGGCCCCCAGCGCTGACAGTCTCTATTCTCACGACGCGCTCCGTGACGCGCAGTGTGCAACGCGCACTGAGTGATCGGTGGGGGTGCAAACCGTCCATGATGCGTTCGGCAATTCCCAAATAACTTGATTGCTAAAATTTGTAGGATAATTTTTTTTTTAATCTGACACATATTCTTACGTTAAATAAAATCACTGTCAGTATCTCCATCTGGTCAGTATCTCCATCTGACATGGGGTGCATGCCACCCACTCTCATAACTCCCCTTGTGCTGATGGAGGTTAGGTGACCTGTGGTCTCAATAAAGGGAAGTTCTCTTTTATAAGATCCTCTCTCATATTCTGATGAATTAATAGTAATTAACATGAGCCCTTTTCTAGTCTTGTTGGCACTTCTGAGATTTTTATACATCCAACATTTCTATTACTGGATTCACCAGACAGAACATAATACTGACTTAGGTCAAACCTTGTTTAGGTGAGATGCAAAAATGTTCAGCATGATGGTTAGGGGAAGGCTCTTTGCCAAGCTGCCTGGGTTCATACTCTGTAAAATTTACACGTCTCTACATGCTTCAATTTCCTAGTGTATCAAATGCATATGATGATGATGATGATGATGGCAATTAGAGTTCTCAGAGAAGTTAATACCCATCGGAAGGCTGCTGTCACAGAGCAGCACTACAAAGCATTCGTGTTCATTTTTATGAATAAAATGAACAATGTAGATGCCTTGACAGGCAGGAATGCAATAAATTCATCCCATTAAATGGAGAGGCAAAGACGATGAGGGCCCTGGGTCAGCACCTGTCAGGGCTGGCAGTGGCCCCAAACACTTACAGAGCACCTACCTGCTGACTCCCAGCTGCTCTCAGAGCCAGAGCTGTGACCTGCAGTTCCCAAGATGGCTACTGGGGGCGTCTCTCTCACAAGCACAACTTACCTGGCTTCCAGTTTCAGGGTGCTAGGGCGGCTCCCCCAACAGAGCCCAATCCGTGCCCTCCAGTTCAGGCAAGCAGTATGAGCAGGGCAAAAACTGACCCTCCTTCCCTGGAGGGAGCCAAAGGCAGTGGCTAAGAAACAGGACTTCCAGGAACTGGACTGGCAGAAGCAATGACCAATCAGAACAGAAGTCGGCAACAGCCTGGAATAGGGGTGTGGTGGTGACTAAGGGGGAAGACCCCGGGGCAGTGACCTGTGATATGGTCGCAAAAATACATACCCACCTACGTTTAGCTGAGTGTCAGCCCTGATGAGGTTGATGGCCCTGTGACAACTGCCGACTCTCAAACCGACAACCTCTGCCTACAGTATCGGAGTGCGCAAACGTGTGCCTGAGGTACAGACAGAGCCCGCCACTCACCCTGGGCGGCGTATCGACAGGACCCGTCCTCCACCAGGACGTTGTAAAAGGGCTGATGGTGGCCGTGAGGCAGGCTGTGGACGTTCATGTTTCGGATCCACTCGTGTCCCATCATACAGGTGGGGTCCCAGCCGTAGATGACACAGTTATAGCCGTACCTGATCAACCAAGAGCAGTCACACGTCAGCTTCCTGTCTCAGGAGAGCGGAACACAGAGGCGATGGCCTGGCTTCTCCAAGGCTCCCATTCTTACAGATCTACCTGCCTTCACTCTATGCTGAATCAATCTCACTCCGGGCCTCTTTATAAAGCCCTCTTATTGACAAGCTTGCTCTCTATCTTGTTGCTGCTGTTGTTGAGTCACTAAGTTGTGTCTGACTCTTTGCGGACTGCAAGCCAGGTTTCCCTGTCCTTCACTGTCTTCCAGAGTTAGCCCAGAGAGTAGTACAATTGGGGAAACATTAAAGTCTCACTAGATTTTTTATGAGATTACAAACTGTTGATATTTTTCTGAGTTAGGACAACGGAATGGTAAATGTGTCTTAAAAAAAAAAAAAAGAGCCCCCTTACCTTTTTAGTGTCACTAAAATAGCTACAGATGAAATCACCTCTGGTATTTGCTCCAGGGAGGAGGGGGAGAGTCAGGCGGCAGAGGCAGAATGAAGACTGACCTCATAATGATAACCTTTGAAGCTGGACACGGGAACATCACCCGGTTCACTACACTCCTCTCTCTGCTCTAACATACACTTGACAATTTCACAACAAAGTTAAAAAAAAAAAAAAGAATGCAGTAAAAGAATGGAAAACACTAGCCAAAAACTGAGAAGAGACATTTGTAATTTATCTGCCCATAGAGACTAATACACAGAATAAAGAAACTGCAAATCATAAGACTAACAACTCAATTGAAAAACACGTAAAATGCCCAGAGAGGCACTTAATCAAAGGAAACTTCAAAGGCCAGTAAACACAGGAAAAGAACCTCGATCTGCGTGGCAACCAGGAAAATGTTAAATTAAAACCACAACGAAATGCCATCTGCCACTTACTACAGAAGTACACTTTTCAAGGTGTTCACTGACACAAGGTGGCCAGGCTCAAGGCTTTCAGCACCTGACCTGCTGGCGGGATGTAAATCAGCACAGGTGCTTTGGGGGGCAGGTTAACTGTGCCTCATCCACCAGCCACAGGACCCCCCCGGGTAAGTCCCTACGGAACTCAGATCCAAAGAGAGTGAGACCTCGGGACGGAGGCTGATGAGAAGGGGAAGCACACAGCTGACAGGGCTTCCACTCCCCAGAGACCAGACGCTACACTCATTGGAAGAGCTCCCGGTTAGGAAAGCCAGTTGCTTCTTAACAAACAAAAAGGTCCTCGCTGTGATGGGCCTTGGTCTCTGCCGCACCAGGTCAGGTCCCCACCGCTCATGGCGCTGTGTCCTCGGCAGCCACGCGGGGTTGGGGCAGGCGCCAGGAGCACTCACCTCTTGTGCTTCATAATGAGCCCAATGGAGTAGCAGACGTCCCTGTGCTTCTCGTGGGAGCGAAGCTTGACCTCCACCCCCACCTCCTCCTTCTTCCGCTCAATGTGCTCCAGCGTGTGCTGCACCAGGTAACCCACCGCCCCGTGCTGCCCCGGGTCTAGGGTCTGGATGTGCTGGAGGATGTCAAGCACCTTCAAGACAAGACAGAAAGACTAGGAGATAATATTTTCATTTAGGCCTTTTCGGTTTCCTGGCGATAGATTTAAACCTGCATAACCTGATGAAAAGGCGGCAAGGTGGGCTGGGCTAACAGCCTGCGTCTCTGTGACCCACGGGGGTCTCTCCCCACTGGTGCCACGTACAGCCGGTGTTGCTTCATGTGCTGGGGGCTGACCCCGGCAGCCGAGTCCAACCAGCCTGAGTGGGAGGAACTCTATTTAGAAACATGAGGTACTGGAGCCCACACGGGATGGGGAGGCCAGGGCTGCCGTCCGTGAATGCACTGGGGCCAGGTGAAGCCTAACAGGTCCGCACATTCCTGGGCAGTGGGGGGGAACTCGATGTCTTATACACAGAAAGGAATTCAACCTGCTGCTCATGAACTGGAAAAAGAAATGCAAAGCTGCTTCAATCAAGATGGAAAGGCTGAGTGCAGAGTGGCCTCGGGGCAGCAGGAGAGGGGAGGGGTAACAGAGAGAGCACTGGAGAGATGGACACACGTCAGCACAGCACGGTTATGCTCCTTTCTGTGAAGAAGGAAGATGTGTAGGTACAGGGCTCGGAGATCCTACTGGTCGTGTCAAGTACATTAACTCACAGTGGACTTTAGTGTTCAGGAGAACAGGGAGAAAGCCCTCTCCTTGGAAGTTACCTGACGAGCTGGTGGAGCAGAACTGCCTGAGCCTGAGGTTCTGTTCTCTTTACGGCACCCAGTGGCACTATGGAAAAATACAAGTTCAAGGAAAGCTAACTCACGTAAGCAATTACCAAGCACCTACTGTCTTAGCTCTCAGATGAGGGTCTCTGATGTGTTTCTGTTTTAGAAAAGGATCTCTTCCTATTTATTGACGCTGGATTCTAGCCCCAAATCTGCCAAACTCAAGTGCTTTTGTCTTTGAATTAGTTTATCTACTTATCAAGTAATGATTAAAAACTCCCCTATTTCCTGACACACCGTGAGCCAGTACAAATGCTGCGGTTTTCTGCAACACAAGGTATTATTTTAAAACTCAGTCTTGTCTTCCAGAATGAGATTTGCAGGATCTCAATATTTCCTGAATATTATTCTCCTGCTGGTTCACTGTGCCAAACCTGGCACACATCTTTTTAAACTTCATTTAATCCTCCCAACCTGGAGGTCAGCAGTCCGGTCACTGCCAACTTCCAGAAGAGGAACCAGGCTTAGAGGAGTTAAGCAAGGTGCCTGAGGTCACGGGGTCATGGAGACATGCAGTGAAAACGTGGACCTGGGGCTGACTTGCAGACCCAGGTCTCGGTCTCCTTCACACCAAAGCAGGAAGAGGAGGATTGGAATTAACTGTTAGGAAAATTCTCAAACACGTATCAAGGGGACAGAACGGCATGACCCCAAGCTTGGAGCCGATCCCATCCACCTGCCACCCCCAGCAGTGGCCTTGTCCTGCAGGGGCACTAGCCACAGTTGTGCCTTGTAGCTAAAAGCATCGGATTTCACAGTAAGCTTCTTGTGTTCCCCTCTGCAGTTCAAAACTAGTTACTTCTGACAAGTTTTCTATAGACACAGCCTTCCTCTCCTTCCTGGCAGCCCCTTCCTACCAGGTAAGTGAAAGAAAGGTTAACTTGGAATCTTCAAAGCACAAAGGAAGTCTTAAACTCAGAGTGTCAGAGGAGGAGATAAGGTTCAGGGATAATTACATCCTTTCCTTGTTGGGGGTGGGGAATGATGGGGTGAAGGGGGAGGCCAGAAACGGAGAAGGTGCCACGAGACATGCCCAGTGTGTCCCGAAGGCCTGTGCTGACAGTGGGCCACCATGACATCTCCAGCTAAATGTCCAGGCTAACGATGTTCCGTCATTTCTTATTCATTCAAATAAAAATTTTGTGAGCACCTACGGGGTAGGAGGAGTTGTGTTGAAAGCCGGGGAACAGCTACAGTAAGGAACTGAGCAAGGACGTCCCTGGTGGTCCAGGGGCTCAAGACTCTGTGTACCCAATGCAGGGGGCTCCTGTTGACCCCTGGTCAGAGAATTAGATCCCACACGTCCCAGTTAAGAGTTCACATGCTGCAACTAAAGATCGCTCCTGCCACAACAAAGACTGGAGATCCTGTGTGCTGTAACTAAGACCCAACACAAATAAAACAACAAAACAGATGGTCCCGGTCTTTAAAGAGCACCGACTCCAGCAGGCGTGAGCCGCAGAGCTGAGGGACAGGAAGGAAGCTCCAGGCAGAGCTACAGTGTGCGCAGAGGAAGGACCCAAGAGCACGGGGGTGGTAGGACGACGCAGCCTGGGCAGTCCAGAGTGAACGTGAGGAAGCACACGCTGGTGGAATCGGGCCACCAAGAACCCGGCAGGCTTTGGCGGAGAGCGGGAGCCTGGCCTTGCAGGCAAGGGGGGAGCCACTCGGAGGGTCCCGAGCAGGGAAGGGCCACGAGTGACGTGGTTATGGTTACTCTGACTCCAGTGCTTAAAATGCATTCAAGGGGTCTAAGAGGAGAAGGAAGGAGACTGTGCAGGTGCCCCATGCGGTCACAGAGGGGACACAGCCACCGGCAGATGTGTGGCAGACATTTGAATTTGCTGGTGTGGAGCCCAGAGTCCAGGCAGGAAGGCAGGGATTCAAGAGCCGTCAGCCTACAGATGGGAACTGAGGACTGGAAAGCAGGTAAGATCACGGAGGGGAATAGAAGAAGTCTAGAAACTACCCCCCCACCCCCTCCAAACCCCCCCAGTGTGGAGCCTTTAACGGAGAGGGGGTGGACAGGAACTAGCAAGAACCTGGGAACAGGGGACTGGAGGGAACAGAGTGTTCTGAGTGGTGGGGAAGTGGCCTCTGAGTGATCAAGAGAGATAAGGAAAGACAAGTATCCACTGCATTTGGCAACAAGGAGAAAAGTTTAACAAGCGGGGTCATGGGCTTCCAGTTCACGTGGAGGAGGGGTGGGAACTGAGCCCGGGTTCTGAGCAGCGGGAGGAGGCTATGGGGAGGTTGGCCCCAGGACCCTGGCCGGGCTGGGAGCAGATAAGGAGCAGCCGCAGGGCAAAGCAGATGGCTGTCATGGGGAGCTTTGTCTTTTCTTTTTTCAAAGATAAAGAGAGACTTGAGTGTGTTTAATGCTGACAACAGAAGTAGACAGGGACCTGCACATCCAGGAAAAGAAACAAAAGAAAACTTAGCAGTCCTTGGACAGGCAGCAGGCTGGACCCAGAGCCCAGGGGTGTGTGCCTTGGGAAACCGAGGGGCTTCTTTTCCACTGCAATGTGGAAAATGGAGGCAGGAATAACTGGATCACAGCAAGGATGCAGGTTTGGCAGCAGGAAGTGGAAAGTGCCCATCTGTTGGCTTCTTTAGAGACCATCTCGCCTGACCCCGTCCACAGGGGTGAAGTGTGTGGGTGGGCTTGGAATCTGAACACCTGGTGCCATCAGCTCCTGTAGGAACCCCTGGCAGATTACTAAACTTCTCTCAATGCCTCAGTTTCATTATTTACAAAAGGGCAAAAAAGCTTGTATCCACCCCGAGGGGCTGGCAGGTGTTGCAGGCATGCAGCCTGAACTCTCCAGCCGTTGTCGCCCCCACCCCTGGAGGAACCTACTCCTTGCTCTGAAATCCTTCCTGGGCCTTCCAGGGGCACCTCAAACCTTCCTCCGGAGCAGACTGTCTTCTAACTGCTCTGCACCCTTGGGGATCTTCCTTACTGGGGGCCCAGCCCTTCTTTCTTGCTGCAGCTGGAGTATAGTTCATGGAGCACGGGAGGTGAGCTGTGGGAAGGGAAAGGGCCACTTTCCCCTCCTGATCTCAGACGCGGAGAGGAGGGGGCGGGGCGAGGGGTCTAGGTGCCCGACCCCGGCAGTCCACGTCATGGAGAAAAATGTTCTGCGTGAAACAGTTTTTGGAACTTGCTCCAGTGACCTCTGCTTGACAGGAAGGCAATCTTGAACATCCAAGGAGGAGGCCGAGGAAACTCCCTGGAAATGGCAGAGGAGCCCTAAATGGAGCCCAGCATTAAAGGGAGGGATGCCAGCACTTCGGCAGACGTTCCTCCTAGAGGGGACGTTGACCCCTCTCCTCCTAAGGCTGATGTGTGATTTCAGTACAGAATCTACTTGGGAGGAGCCACACTTTGAAAGCATCTCTGAGTCTCATAAACTATCATGAAATTCCTTAACCGATATACAGTAAAAAGTGACAGGAATTAGTTATGTATATGCTGGTATCAAAAATAAAGTAAAAAGATAAAAAGTCAGCTGTTCAATTCTGGACAACAAGGTGCTGGGAGGCAGGTGGTGACTTGGTAGAGAGTCTCATTTTCCTCTTTTGGATCCCATGGGGGTCCTGGGAAGACGGCTGCTGTCTGGGCTGGAGGCAACATCTTAAGATAGGAGCCCAGGACTTTTCCTACTGCCACATCCTTTCTCAGAACTACGGCAGATGTGTGACACCGTAAATCTAAGCTGTGCTGGGTCACTGAGACTATTTACTTTCTTAGGGAAGGCTTTCCCACTCTCCAGTGACAGGGCTGACGATTTCTTGATGACAGTCCTGAGAGAGCTCGGAAGTCAGTTCTCTCACCAGGCTGTCCAAACAAAGTGGACTATGAACATATTCTCAGGGACAAGCGAGGGTGGGACGGGAGTGAGCAGCTGCCCCAGCACATGCAGTGCGGCTGGAAGCCACATGTGTTACGCCCACAGCAGGGCTGACCTCAAACATGGTCAGGAAGCGCTGACAGGGCTTTCTGCCCGCCAAAGGGGGTGTCACCAGCCTGCAAGATCCACATGGAATGGTATCAAAACCCAACAGCTTTTAAAGGTGTGCACCAACCTTACTGCACCCAGCAGCTAGACTAAGCAAATCTGCTATCTCCTTTTTCTATGCCTCCAGGTCGGTTTAGTCTCTAACAGCACAGCTGGAGGATGAACACTTGAAACTTCTGCTTCCCCCTGAGGGGGACTTGGGGGGAAAAGACGTCTTTGGGCCACCAGTGGGTGAGCAGTAGGACAGAGGCCTCGTGGTTCTGGGAGTTTAAGGTGCTGATCACAAAGAGAATGGGCAACTCCTGGCAGGATAGCCAATTTTTCAGGAGGATAAAAGGAGACAAAAAAATTCAATCGATGGGTCGAAACTGTGACACTTTGAATAAATCTGTGTTTATCCCCCAGGTTAATCCAAGGATAAACCGGTAAGTGCCGCCTTTCAATTAGGATTTCCCTCTCTACGGCAAGGGGAGAGCATCAAGATAAAATAATTACCTTCTCTGGCCAGATACCCAGGTGGAAGTAAAGCCTGGCCTGGAGGAGCAGCAGCTGCACCTGGTCGGGGTACATCGCCAAGTACAGGTCCAGAGAGTCCCTTAGGAGCTGGTAGGACTGGTCGATGCCTTCCCTGTGGGGAAGAAAGCTTCATTTAAGCCTGTTGGCTTCCGAGTTAGGACCTGTTTTTTCAAAGACCAGGTTTTAAAATGAATGGGACACAAATCCCACAGGTTCTCTGATTCTGATACTTCCTCTCTGTTTAGCAAAGTTACAGTGTTCGTAATAAAAGGAAGGGACAGAAATTTTGTACCCCACTAATTTAAAATCATAAAAGTGCTTTCCTTGGAAGTCACCTCAATAGCATCAGACATAAATTAGAAGTGGATTCTGAATAGGTGGTGCACAGAGGTCTTTCAGGAAAGTGAAACTATTCTAGATGATGCTATAGTGGTGGGCAGGTGTCATGACACATTTGTCAAAATCCATGGACTGGACACCATCAAGAGCAAACCCTAATGTAAAGGATGGTAGGCTCAACAACTGTAATGCCTCTGGAGGGGATGCTGATATGAGGGAGGCTGTGCATGTCTGGAGGCAGGGGGTAAATGGAAACATTCTGGACTTTTTGCTCAGGTTTTGCTGTGAACCTAAAACTGTTTTTTTTTTTTTTGGATGCAGGCCATTTTTAGTCTTTACTGAATTTGTTAAAATATTGCTGCTGCTTCTTTTTTTTTTTTAATGTTTTAGTGTTTTTGGCTGTGTGGCATGTGGGATCTTTCCTCCCTGACCAGGAATCAAACCTGCACTTCCTGCATTGGGAGGTTTAGTCTTAACCACTGGACCACTTTAGAAAAGTGGACTTTATGGGAAGTCCCCTTAAAACTTTTTTTTTTTTAAAGAAGACTAAAGTCTATTTTAAAAAATATTTTACCATTAAGCAGAAAACCATGACTCCAATGTATAAATTTCTTTTTTCCCTGTAAGACACTTTTCTTTGGACTCAGAAGCCAGACTGTTTCATATTTTCGCTTGTTCCCTTAACTAAGTGATTGGTATTGTTGTTCAGTCACTAAGTCATGTCCAACTCTTTGCAACCCCATAGACTGCAGAACGTCAGGCTTTTCTGCCCTTCACCATCTCCCAAAGTTTGCTCAAAACTCGTGTTCACTGAGTTGGTGATGCCATCTAACCGTCTCATCCTCTGTTGCCCCCTTCTCCTGCCCTCAATCTTTCCCATCATCAGAGTCTTTTCCAATGAGTCAGCTCTTTGCATCAGGTGGCCAAAGTATTGGAGCTTCTGCATCAGCATCAGTTCTTATAATCGCCAGTCTAAAATGTTTTGTTACTGGATAATGCTTTCAGATTTTATAAAAGAGCCCTTGCCCATGTCCACTGCAAAGATCTCAGGAAGAGTCACTGAGCACATCCACAGTCTGGACAGTATTACGTCGTGGGAACCAGTCCCTCCCCTGTGGTCCCAGCGGTGCTGCGAGCATCCAGTGCTGCTCAGTATGGCAGGCAGGCTTGTGAAACAAAATTCTCTGTAAGGCAATCTGCGCCTCCAAAGATGCAGACTCTACGAAAGAACTGGAAAACTGAGAAACCCTTACCGCTTTCCTAGACTTAACAGGTTTCCCACCATTCGCTGCAACACCTTCTTCACATTCACCACCCCGTACAGTGCCGCGGTCACATGCTGGCCGATCAGGTATTCACACTCTTTCACTGTCAGCTGCTTGCCTTTCCCAAAAGCATCTATGTAGATGTAGTCAAAGATGTCCAGGGTCGCCCTGCCCAAAGAGCAGCAATGTAGTGAGTTGTCACTCAGGCTGGAGCTGAACCAGTCAAAACCCCCTAATAAGCAGCTCAAATCAGAGACAGAATGTTAACACAGTTGCAGTTCTGCTGAAAATATCAAGGCCTTGTCCAAAGTCTGAAAGCTGACCTTTAAACATACTCTGATGAAATAAGATGGTGATACACCTGTATATAAGAAACAGCACTGGTTTGTGCCATTTAATGTAGGTTTTTAGAGACAGTAACCCTAAAACTCACTGCCAGGCAGATCTATCCAAAATCCAGTTGAAAGAGGCATTTCTGGAATGCCTGAGGCAGTCAATAAATCCCACAGAGCAGCAGTTACTATGTGTGGGGCCAGGGCCCCTGGAGACTGTGATGAAAGTTAGAGGAGTCTGAGCCACAAGGCCTCAGCTCTGCAGACACCCTCAGGCGGCTCAGGTGAGAACCTGCTCCGGACCACGGAGAGGTGTGTCCCTGGCCTCCACCCCTGCTCCTTTGCAACTGCTTTCCACGAACCCAGCTCTCGCACGCACGAGGCGGGGTAGGGGTGGGGAGTGGTGGGGGTGTGGCCGGCAACACCAGAGCCAGGCAGGGAGGTGGTCCTATGAGTTCTTACTGCAGTACCTCTGACTACACGGCATTTACCCGAGGAGGATGCCTGAAGGGCTGGGGTGGGACTCTTCAGGGAAAGCTGTTTTCTCCTTTGAGAAACTATTTCACTTTGATCTTATGCCGACTGCAAATCATGCAAGAGACTTTCTCTTGGGCTGCTAGAAAGTTGTCAGATTTCTTCCTTGAGTCGTTATCAATAGCCCAGCTTTAGCAAAACATATATAAATGTTGCAGAAATAAGGAATGCTCTTCAATCTCTTTTTAGTCTAGGAGAACCACACAAATGGACACAAGTTTATGGGCAAAAATTTTAAATACAATATGACCAAATCAAATACAGTGATGTATGACCAAAATCTGTATAATTGTTTCCTAAGAATGAAACGAGGGTTGAATGCTAAAAAACTTCAGCACATGCAGACTATAAGAGCAAAATCATACGATTCTATCTGTAGACACAGAAAAGAAATTTGAGGGGATAAAAATCCTAGTTATTAATAAGACTCTCAGGAAATTACAATTCTAGAAGGCAGTTTTGATCATCTCAATGAAAGGTACTGCTCTCAAACATCATGTATGAGGTGAAATTGTAAAGTCATATCCAAGGCAGAGTGCCTGCTATCACTGTTTCTATTCACTGTGTACAAGAGGACCTAGCCAGCATAGTAAGTCAAAGAGACACAAACATATAACAGCTGGGGAAAAAAAAAAGAAATAAAATGTCATGATTCAGACAATATGATTATCCACACAGAAAGGCTGAAAGACCTAACCATTTATTAGCACTAATACTTGATTCAGCAGAGGGGCCAACAATCAACCTAGATTTAAGGATCAGCCATAGCCCTGTACACCACCAATACCTAAAAGTGTCATTTAAACAATGACCATCTTCAATAGCAACACAAAGTGAAGGTACACAGGAATAACTGACACGATGTCAAAGAGCTGGCTAAAGAAAAGAGTAAAATCCTTTGAAGGACATTAAAGATGAATTCAACGTGGAAGCATACAAACGGAGAAGGGACACACATGGCATGCTCCTCACACGAATCCGTGAATCCAGAGACGCTCTGGGGCCAGCTACCACACGAGAGTTTCAAGGGGCCTGACCAGCGGACTCTAAAGCTGCACGTGGGCTTCAGGCTTAGAGGAGCCAGGGTGATTTTGAAGGACTCCACGCGGGTCTCAGCCTCCTAGTCTTTAAGACTCACGATAAGGTCACGGTCAGCAAGCACTACGGTCTTGGTGCAGACACGGAGGCTGAAGGCCCAGCAGGCGTGCGCGCTCCCACGGGCCAGACCTCACAGGTCTCAGTGTCCGCCAGGAGTTTGGGGTGCTAACAAACCACTTCACTGTTCATCTGCAATGTGGTATACATTCACTGCAGCCTAAAGAAGGAAAAATAGTCCTGTGGGCACACACAAACGTGCCCAGCAATAGGTTACTGTGGTCAATAACATGGTAATTGGTGTTTTAAATGCTCTGTATCATGCAGAAGTTCTTGGTGGACCATTATATAATATAAACATTTAAGGATGTTTTAGATATTTGGGGAAATTGGTTGAGTTACTCAGGGAGAGGGAATGGGCTGAAAAAGCATTTTTTTCTTTTCATTTAAAATAATGGAAAATGGGCGCCTGCTCTCCCACAGAGAAACTATCCAATACATCTTAAGAAACAGATTATATTTGGGAAACAGGGAAGCCTGTACTTGCTATTTAAGGAAACACATACGTAATAGAATATAAAAATATGCATGGAAATAACATACTTTCAAGCTAACCTCTAGAAAGGAGAGGAGGAAGAAAAGAATGCAGAAGAATACCAAGGAGGTATTTTATTTCCCAAACCCAGAGGTGGAAACACAGAGGCCAGCATCGGAATCCACCACGTGTGTAAAGCGTTAGGTTCTCTCACCGAACCCTCCAAACCACTGTATGAAAAACATCAGCCCTATCTTACACAGGAAAAAACTGAAGCCCAGAGGAAGCTTATGTCCGAACCCAGTCTAACTTCAGAGCTCAGCTACTTTCTATCATTCTGCTCATCACTTCAGCAAAGGGTACCTCAGCCAGTCATCAGGAAGTAGTCTCAAAAAACAGGGTGTAATCAAATAAGTTTGTTTCTTTTCCCTCTAAAGGGCACTTTTAAAATGAGGGCATCTCTACCCATTTGATGAACTGCTTTCAGAAAAGCCAGACTACTGCTATAAAGGAGCTTTACGTCCAATAGGATACCAGGTTTAAAAAAGAGAGAGAGAACAAACCAGAATGCTTTAACCTGGTCTGCAAAGCAGGCACACTGGTCACTAACCTTGCCTGAAGGAGCTCCCCTGCTGAGAACACTCCTATTCGTTTTTGCAAACGAATGAAGAACCTGGCTGCCCAGTTCTCTCTCCCAAGCCTCTTCCTCCGTCCCCCACCCCACCCCCACCTCCCTTCTGTGGGAGGTTTTATGGAAGACTGGGAAGAAACAGCTTAAGAATTCTTTGGGCCTGGTGCACTGGGAAGACCCAGAGGGATCGGGTGGAGAGGGAGGTGGGAGGGGGGATCGGGGTGGTGAATACATGTAAATCCATGGCTGATTCATGTCAATGTATGGCAAAAACCACTACAATATTGTAAAGTAATTAGCCTCCAACTAATAAAAATAAATGGAAAAAAAAAATCCACACATAAAAAAAAAAGAATTCTTTGTTACTGATTTGCTTTGGAACAAAGGGACTTTGAGATTCATACAAGACCCTGAACTGTTAGTCCTTCAAAAGTAAACTGTTTTCTTTGAGATAACTGTTTTCTTTGAGAAAACTGGTTTCTTTGAGTTATCTGCAGATTCACACTCCCGTTGAGGAGAAACAAGGTAGAAGAATGAAGAGTGCCCTTCTCCCCTGAGCAGATTATGGATTTGGATACAATCAAGAGCAAACCAGCTCTCTCACCACCCTGGTCCCCTTGATAACCTCCGCTGTTACACTTCTCTCAGCACAGGGCAATCACGCGGCGTCAGAGATGGCTCACCCTTCTGCACCTTGGCACCACCTTAGTAAGAAGTGGCTGGGGAAGTTGACAGGCTCCAGTGGGACCCCCAACTGCCGGGCAATTGTCAGGTAGAGCAGAGACATGCTGATGGGGATTCCTGTTCTGCGGATTAACACCTAGAGGAGAAAGCAGGCTTTAGCTTCACACAAATGAACCACACCTTCTTGCCTCTTCCACACGCCTTCCCAGTCAGCGCCTACTGTGCAGCAGGTGCAAGGATAGGTTTTTCAGACTTAAATGGATGAGTATTTTATTTATTTAGATCAGGGCTCTGCAGACTACAGTCCACATCAGACCGACCAGCTGTTTTTGGACTGCCTGCTTAAGAAGAATTTTAGCGTGTTTTTAATGTTTACAAAAAGTTGACTGAACACTATTTCATAAAATGTGAAACCTATGTGAAGTTCACATGTCCACGTCCACACACAAAGTTTTATGGGAACACAGCCACACTCCTTTGTTTCTGGATGATTTGCAAAGTTTTCCTTCACATGACTAGGGCAGAACTGAGCAGTTAGGACACAGGACATTCGGCCTGCAGAGCCAGGCCAAGAGAAGGCTGGCCTTCACAGCAAAAGTCTGTAGACCTATGGTTCAGGCCCTCCTTTTTCTAGGAAGAACTTAAGGGTATTTCAAAGAAAAGTGTGTAAGTTATGACAAAAGAAAATACAGGTCTCAGAGAGAGCAACAGAACAGATATAAAAACAGAGACAAGTAGGAAGCAAACAAAAAGTAAGCGTCAATGGCGCAGTCGATCACTTATTTCCCCAGTCTTCCTGGAGGCTGGTACAAAAAGGGAGACCTGCTTAGTTTCATGGTTTACTGTTCACAAGAAGTGATCTGACCACACTGAGTCAGAGGAGTACCTATTTTGAGCCAGGAATTTACCTCGAGGGTTTTCAGACAAGAGGGTGCTCTGTGATGAATCAGATAAAATCCAAAGCAATACCCTCATAGGAGAGGCAAAAAATAAGTTTCACCAGGCACTGACAGACCAACAAAATCTAGTACTTGCCCTCAAATACTGTACGATCCATCAGAGATAAGCTCCACCAGCATATATTATAACTGTATTTTCTCTCACCCCCGCATTTACCTGGTGCATATATAAGTTCAGGGCATTGTAGTAATCCATTCGGTTCCCTTTGAACTTCAGCTGGTCATACAGGACGTGGTTCATGGCATCCAGCACCTGACTCTGGAGCTCTATTTCCATGATCATGGAGGATTCACCTGAAACACAAGAGACCTGCTCTGAGGACACAAGCACAAATTACGCCGTGACGCGTGTCCCCAACAAGCCCTGACGTGCAGACTGGCAGCGTTCTCGGAAGGCTCATCAGGTGCTGCCAACGCTGGGTGGAAAGGAGACTGTGTTTGAAGCCTCTGACATCATCTGGGTGAACAGGTGGCTGTGTTATCAATCGCTTTGGGGGGACATAATGGGAACGCACTGCAGAATTTTCCAAATTAACCAATCATTCTAGGTTTTTCTTTTACAAATACAGCTGGATCGAAAGCAATTCCACACCTGCCTTGAAGGCCAAGCTGGGGTGGCGACTGTTTATGCCCCGGAGGGTTTTGCAAACAAGCTCCACGATGCTGTCAATCTGAGCCTGGATGTCCTTGAGACTTATGTCAGAGAGAGGGTTGCAGTACTGGTCAATATACACTGCGCCTGAAACAAATAAGAATCACGGGATAAGTTCTTACATTTGCCTTTTCTTAACAGCGGTCATTCGTCCCAGACTCCTGGGGCCATAGCTCTTTACACCACTCCTCAGACGGTTCCTATCCTGGATGTCAGGCCTGGCTTCTAATTCACTGAGAAGGGGCAACATGCTTACAACCAAGGAGCTGACATTTCATTATTATTATTAATATACCAAAACTCTCTCAGAAGTCAAGGACTCACTCTGACACATATATCCATGGTCTACTGCCAAGAGATAAACACCACAAAGGAGCTCTTTTCAGGCTACTTCTCTCCCCCTCTTAATTGTAATTCAAAATCCAACAACTCTGAGAACTCAATAGTATACGACAGCATTTTGACTTGAAAAAAAAAAATCGTCGAAAGTCCGCAATGTTACATATGCCATTTCCACAAACTATTCCCCTGAAAGGTGAGCCAGTAAGTGGACTTTGGAGATGACTGGACTTTGAAATTAAACAGTTACACTCAGGAAACCCAGAGCTAAAAAGCTGTACAGAGCACACCAGAGACACTGTCAAAAATCATTATTCTTCACTGCCTCAGGTCACTTTTTAACCCTAGAATCGAAGAGCTAACTTGCTTATTTGTCATAGGATAGTTTCACTTGGGAAGTTGTGGATTCCCTTAAAATCCATGAGGTCTCAAACCAGTTCAGGACCCCGATTCCCTAACTTGATCCCCAATGGGTATCAAGTGACCTGGACTCCAGTTCTGGTTTTTCCACCAGCCCAGCCTGGTTCCCGGGCCTTAGTTCCCCCATCAGCCAGGTGACAAGGTTTCTACTGCGTGGCTCTGGGATCCACTGTATCTGACTGCTGCTTCCTAGACTTCATCAATGGCATCAGATGATTCTAGTCTGCCACTCAGAACCAGAATCCTGGAGCCAACTTCTATTCACTCAACTACTTAAAATAATCACTGCAGATGGTGACTGCAGTCATGAAATTAAGACGCTTGCTCCTTGGAAAAAAGGTTATGACCAACCTAGACAGCATATTAAAAAGCAGAGACATTACTTTGCTGAAAGGTCCATCAAAGCTATGGTTTTTCTAGTAGTCACGTATGGATGTGAGAGTAAGACTATACAGAAAGTTGAGCACTGAAGAATTGATGCTTTTGAACTGTGGTGTTGGAGAAGACTCTTTTAAGAGTCCCTTGGACTGCAAGAAGATCAAACCAGTCAATCCTAAAGGAAATAAGTCCTGAATATTCATTGGAAGGACTGATGCTGAAGCTCCAATACTTTGGTCACCTGATGTGAAGAACTGGCTCAGTGGAAAAGACCCTGATGCTGGGAAAGACTGAGGGCAGGAGGAGAAGGGGATGACAGAAGATGAGATGGTTGGATGTCATCAGACTCAATGGACATGAGTCTGAGCAAGATCCAGGAGTTGGTGAGCGACAGTGAAGCCTGGCATGCTGTAGTGCATGGTGTTGCCAAGAGTCGGACAGGACTGAGCAACTGAACTGAACTTAAAAAAATGATATTACTTTATAATATTATAAATAAAGATGAAAGAGAAGTAATTGTTTTCATAAATAAAGCTCATCAAGTTATTCCTGACTATGGAATAAACAGAAGATGACTCTCAACTCCAGGACACATAGGTGAAGACTCCAGGGCACTGAAGATATTTTAAGGAACTGAATCAGTCACTTCAATTCCTTCTGGATAGCACAACCAACAAGATCAATCAAGAAGAATATGCACACGGCACTGCAGAGTATACCTTGATTATAAGGCCAAAGAACCAAGAATACAGTGACCAGTGGAGAAAGGATGGACAGGGTTTACCAGCCACTGCTGTTAGGCTGGAGGCAGCAAAATCTACAAGTGCTGCAGCCATCAGAGAAACTTCATGCAAATGAAACCTGGAATGAACCTGGAGGGCGAGCAGGACTTAGAACTGCATCCTAAAGAAAAGGGACACCGTGTTATGAGGAGGTGAAGCCAGGTATCTGTGCGTAGGGTGCCAGTGAGGAGAGTGGCCTGGCTGGAGCAAATGGCACATTTTGGAGAGTGATGGAGAAAGGCCTAACCAAATTAAGGAGGGGACTGAAAGCAGGCAGAGACTTAGCACTGTATGTTGGTGACTTGGGAGTCAGAAGGGGTGATGCCCATGAAAGCAGGTACTACTTAGAAAGCTGCTGCTAGGAGAGGCATGGAGGCCTGCATGAGACCAGGAATAGCATGGAGACATGATTCTGAATAAGGAAAAAAAAATTAATGTACTGGGTAAATCACTGGGAGTAGGGAATGAAAGTGAATGAAGAGTCACACCTATATTTCATAACCATAATCTGTGCGAGTGTCTGGGTAATATGTTAGGAATTAAAAATCGTTTTTAAAAAATGAAGTCACATTGTGTTCTTGTCCAACTGGACAGGAACAGAAAGTTCTACCCATCATCTTGCCTGTCCACAGGACTTCTTTCCACTCACTGCTCATTATGGACGAGCAGACTCACTGACGTGCAGGAACATTTTGTCCTCATTAAACTCCAACCAGAGAGGTTAAGGGATTTGCTCAAGGTCGCATGGACACAAAACTGGACACATTTGTTTCTGATGTGGAAATGAGACTTTAAAACTTAGAAAAATGGGGAATTAACCTCCTTAGCTAAAATATCAGCTTCATACCTTGAACTGACAGTGCATCTTTAGAAAACACTCTTTAGCAGGCAGCTCAAGATTCTGACCAGATCTTAGCTCTAAATGCAATCGTTTTGCTTAGCTAACTGATCAGACCAATATATCCCAACCTCCAGAAGCCCATGTAGTGCAATTTCCTTCCTCCACTGCTTCTTCATCAGGTCACTTTCCACTGCTGCTCCTAAGGGCAACTTAGCTGACTATCACAGTATCAGGGCTGAAGTCTCACCTTCAAGATACGATTCATAGTCATCAGGCTGCTGAAGAAAAGCCTTAAGATTATTCAAAATTTTTTGTTGTCTTAGGTAATAAAGAATTTTTTTGGCGTAGTATTTCCAGGTCAAAGCTTTTCTGGAAAAAACAAACAAGTTAGCAATAAGTCAATTAAGAATTAAGATATTAAAACTTTCCATTACCCATTTCTTTGCGTCATACTAATCATACTGTGTTAAGAGTCTACTTAACAAGAAAAGTACAAATGGCTCACAAGCGTAGAGTACTTATCATGGAAAGAGCAGAATTTAGGACTTGGAATTTGTAATTTACCAATAAATTAGCTGTGCTGAAATTCAAGAAACGTTATCCATTTGGCCTCAGATTTACTAACAGGAAATGAAAGAGAAACCTGAAAAGTCAGGGGAACTGGGTGAGTCTCAGGAGACAGGTGTGAGGCACGTGGAAGCTTGCTGGCCACCTGGCACCTGTCAGGGGTAATTCGGCCTCAGCCTGCTGCTGCCTCGTCCATTCTCATGGCTTCAGATACCATCCATACCGACAGCCCCCGATTTATTTTCCAGAATTGATTTCTTCCCTCAACTCCACACCTGTACATCCAACTGCTACAATGACATCCCACCTCAGTATCTGATGAGACCTTAACTTTCTTCCCTTCCTAGGGAAGGCAACTCCACCATTCCAGGTGGGCCAAACCCTTGGAGTCATCCTTGACTCCTTGCTTTTTCTCACAGTCATATTCAACCCTCTGCCAATAGTTATTAGTCTTATCATCCAAATGTATTGGAAACATAAACAAGTCTCACTAACTCATCTAAACCACCATTCTCTTTCATCTGTTTCATAGCAGCTTCTGCTTTACAGTCGCAGTCAGTCTTCAACAGGGCAGCCAGAGGATCCCAGCTGACATGTAAAGTCAGCAGAAAAATCCTCTGCCCCAAATTCTCTAACGGTTTTCCACCTTGCTCAAAGTAAAAATCCATGTCCCCACGATGACCGGAATGGTCTTTACACTCGTGCCCCAGTGACCTATCTGACCCCTCAGTTCCTGTATCACCCCCCACCCCCCACTCAGTCCAGTCACCGGCCATGGGGGCTTTCTGACCGACCCTTCATCACAGCTGGTGGATCTCACATTAGGCCTCCTCACCCTTAGGCACTCAGTTCCTCCTGACTAGAACATCCTTTCCCTGCAGATCTGCAATCTGTGCCCTCATCTCCTTTCAGGTTTTGATTCAAATATCACTTTGAGTAAGGCTCTCTCCAACCACTCTGTTTAAAACTGGACCCCAACCGCACCGCCCCGACTCCCTCACCCTGTTCCCTGGTTAATAGTTCTCTAGAACACTTCTCATTTCCTAAAAAATATTTCACTTTGTTCAACACCTCTCTTCTCCACTAGAGTGTGAGCTCCCCGAGGGCAAGGTTTTTAAGTGTGGCTCACTGCTGTAGCCTCAGCACCCAGAATAATGTCTGACACAGCAGATGCTCAGTAAATAACTGCTGAGCAACTGAATTCTCCACCAGATCTCTCAAGTACACACAGGGAATGTGGGAAGTAACAGGGAGTCAATGACTATCTTATCTGCCTAGCTTCATACATAAAGGACTCTACAATCTTCAGGGAGTAAATGAAAATCAACAGAGGTTTTACCAGCTTTTTAATCTTTGGGTTGTAAAATACTGCAATTGAGAAAATCACATGAATCAAATAAATAACTTAATTACTATAAGGGAAACACCCCTGGATCCACCACTCAGGCCAAGAAACAGGACTTTGAAGAAACCGTGGAAGCCCTCCATGGGCCCTCTCCCCCTGCCCCACCCCCACCCCGTGACAACCATCACAATCCATGTTCTACGGTCATCACTACTTTGCTTTTCTCCAGAACTTTCACAAACATGCATCCCTAAAAACTCCAGACTAATCTGCTAAGCCCTGATGCTGGGAGGGATTGGGGGCAGGAGGAGAAAGGGACGACAGAGGATGAGATGGCTGGATGGCATCACTGACTTGATGGGCATGGGTTTGTTTGAGTAAACTCCAGGAGTTTGTGATGGACAGGGAGGCCTGGCGTGCTGCGATTGATGGGGTCGCAAATAGCTGGACACAACTGAGCGACTGAACTGAACTGATTCTGGTAAGATTCCTTTTAAATCACTTAATTCACAGGCTTCCCCTTCATCTTTTTTTTCCCTCTTGTATTTTATTTGTTGAAGAAACCTGGTTGTTTGACCTGTACTTTCCCATAGTCTGGAATTTGCTGACTGCATCCACATGGCATAGCTTAACATGTTGTCTTCTAAATTCCTGTAAACTGGATGTAGAGGCTTGATCAGATTCAGATTCCGTTTATCCTTCACAGGTGGTAGTGAGTTCGGTAAGAAGGCAATCGTGCCTCAGTTGTCTCTTTCTGTGATGTCAGCAGTGATTGCTACTCAAAGGCCCAGGTCCATTCATTCACTAAAGGCCCTAAAGTGGTGATATTCTTATTCAACTATCCCTTTTCACTACTAGTTAGAATATTTTACTATAAGGAATAATTCTCCCTCATCTATTACCTGGTCCCCCAGGGGTAGTGTATGTAGGAAAAGGCAGAATAAATGCTCACTACTTTTATCAGATCCCAAAACAATAATCTGGGTTGTTATTATCCTCCAAAGGTGACCAATTAGGTGTTGTTAAGTATTATGAGTTCACATTCTAGTTACTGTCCATGTGGATGATCGAATCATCACACCTCGGACCAAAGGAAGCCTCCTCACGCTGGCCCATGAACACTTCTGACGTGAAACACTGTTTACTTGCCTAAAGCAAGCCTCCTGTCCATGAATACTTCTGATATGAAATACTGTTACTTTCCTTGCTACCTGGCTCCAGGCTTCCAAGATGCTTCCGGGTCATCTTTTACATTTTCTGCTCTGGACCTAGAATCAGCCATTTCTCCAGAAACCCTGGCTGCTTTTGTGGGAAGTACTGACAGAAGACCACAGTCTGAGGACTACTGATGATCATTTCTGCTGGGTTGGTTCTTGCTTCCAGACCTTTTCAGTGAGTCTAGTGTGTTAAGTGTGTGTACATATGCATACAGATATACCTAACACATATTTCAGTATCAAGTATCTTATGAGTTCATACTGATACATCTAATTTAAACTCACAACTATACAGTTTTTACCTTCTATTATATATATATATATATATATATATATATATATATATATATATAATCTTTTTTCCTCCAGGAGAATCCTGTTTCTTCAGGATACCAGGGATGAATCAGAATATCACATGATCACTTACTTGTTTTATTCCACATCTCTCTCTCTTTCATACACACACACCAGCCTAGGAATAACAAGACCAATACTCTCATCACCTTGATGGTTCCTGAAAACCGTGAAACATTTTGTTCATGCTCTCCCCCATTGTCTGTTCATTTCTTTTGGAGAGCTGTATTGTATCTACACAGAGCTTACAGCCACCACATACAATACCTTCATCCGTATCAACTGTCACTTGGATTTAATTCTACAAGTAAACCCATACTTAATGCTCACCACTAGTCCTTGTATTAGGGTCTCTCTGGTTATTTCGGTTGTTTGAAGCTTATTTTCTAGCAGATTTTTCAGGTAGAGCTCAAAAGTCCCTGAATTACTGCAAGTGGATAGGTTTCTCCACAGCTTTTACACTCGGAAATCAATTTGGCTGGATGTAAAAATCCTCGGCTGACTTTCTCCATCCTTGGATATCTTAAATGTGTAACTCTTTTTCTCTGGCATAGACTACTCCTGTTGGAAAGTCTGATGATATTCTGACTTACTCTCCCTCGTAAGTGGCTTCATCTTTTTTGCTTGGATTCTCAAAGGACTTTCCTGTCTTTAAAGTCCAATAGTTTTACTGAAATATGCTTCGGTGTTGGTCATTCTGGGTCAGTTTTCTTAGCTATGGTGTATGCTCTTCTAATATGCTGCTTCAAATCTTTATTTACTCTTTTTTAAGACCACGAAGAATGTAAATGTAAACTGTTCTCAAATATCCAGGGATCAGTGCCTCAGCATTTATGGAAACTACACTTTTTCCTTCCTATGCTTTCCATATCCAAACATCAAGTCATTTGCCAAGAATGAATATAAATAGGGTCATTTATGAAAACCAGCACCCCCAAATATCTACAAACATGAACGTATTGTTATTAAAAAACAACCCTGCTTCAGGTTAAAAATATTTGTCAGGCTAAAAAGTAACATATTTATGATACCTTATTTCTTAAAAAAAACTATAATAATATACTTTTTTGCTGGCTATTCATATTTAGTCTTTTTGTAACCAATCTGATAAGTCAAAAAGCAGTACTTCATTATTATTTAACACTTATCTGAGTGAATTTAAAGGTATTTTTACTAGACTGTCAGTACCTGGACCTGCTTTCCTGAGAATGTTATCGTCCTATCCTTTGTATATTTTAAAATTTCTTTTCAGAAATTTTAAGTATCCTACTGACTTTGTTTACAGTTTCTTTGGTCATACAAATCTATTTTTTTTTTACTGCAAAATCATTTGTCTTTTTTTTTTTAAGTGCCTTGGCATTACCAGTCATGGTTCAGAAGGAATTCCTAGATTGTACATGAAGTCTCCTGTTTTCTTGAAGAATTTTCACGTGATAATTTAAAATTTTAGGTTGTTTAATCTTAGAATTTAATTTTTGTACATGATGTAAGTTTTACTTTCTTCCAGGTGGATATTCAGTTATGTCCAATACCATTCATTAAATAATCCATCTTCTCCCCTCTGAGTTTAAATACGTTATCTTTTATGCTAGGACATGGCTTTGAATGATCCTCTGCCACTGATGGAGCTATCCATTTTTATTCAAATTTTGTAATGTTTGATAACAGGCAGCATTATAATATGTTCTAATATCAAGTGGTGGAAGTTTCCTATTGTGTGTATGTGTTCAGTCACTCACTTGTGCCCAACTCTTTGTATTCCTGTGGACTGTAGCCTGCCAGGCTCCTCTGTCCATGGGATTTCCCAGGCAAGAATACTGGAGTGGGTTGCCATTTCCTACTCCAGAAGTTTCCCATTGTGATTATTTAAAAACTGTTTTTTTCTGGCTCTTCTTGTGAATTTATTCTTCTGTGTATATTTTTTGACAATAATATCCATTTAAGACACACAAACTCTTGTTAGATCCTAAACGGAACAGTATTAAGTTTATATACTAATTTTGGAAGAACTGACATTTTTGTAATAAGTCTTCTTACTCAAGGACATGCTCTGCCGTGTGTACTGAGTCACTCAGTTGTGTCCAATTCTTTACAACCCTATGAACTGTAGCTGACCAGGCTCCTGTGTCCATGGGATTTCCCAGGCAGGAATACCAGAGTGGGTTGCCATTTCCTCCTCCAAGGGATCTTCCCGATCCAGGGATTGAACCTGCATCTCTTATGTCTCCTATCCTCTGCCTTATGTTTTTCAAATAACATTCTATAGTCTGACTTCAGAAACTCACTCCTAGGAACTAACACTTAGAAATGAAAGCACTAAAAACATCACTCTCCACAGTAACACAAAATAGAGAAGAAAGTGGTTATCATCAATAGAGGGATGGTTAAATAAGTCATGGTATATACTACAAAAGAGCAGGCAGTCATTATTAAAGGTGAATTTGATTTTTACCAATTGATCAGGACAGATTTCCACAAGGTAATGTTGAATGAGGAAAAAAAAAGATATTTATTGAAAAGTACCTATTATATGATCTCAGTTCTGTAAAGTAATGATTCCCCTTCATCTTCATGTATATCATATTAGCATGGAAGCCGACAATCTAGGTTGTCATCATAAATTATGGGAGTGGGGGCAGGGAAGGCCAATGCAAATGGAGGGAGAAGAGAGGAAGGAAAAGCCACATAAATAAGAAAAAAAAAAAGTCTGCACTAAACATCCAACCAAACCCAACCAACCAATAAACTCAGTAGTGTTGACTATTTATGTATTTAAAAGTCTATGTGTATATATGCAGAAAAGAGAGGTCAACTTTTATTTTTAAAGCTGCACAATACTGACTATTAGATCACACTTCAATTCATTTATAGATAAACCAAAATAGAAACAGAAAAATGACCTCTGCATCAGGACTCATCCAAGGCCTAGAATAGTGACACATCTTACCTCTCCCCACAGTTGTTCCACTGATAGATATTTTGCTCTCCTAAAACCCCTTTGACCACAGTAAAGAAAAATGTCTTATGCCTTGTTTGTGAGCTATTTCACAATGAGCTCTCTTAAGGAAGATGTTAAAATAGCATTCTTATCTTCCATCTCAAATCAAGTTTCCAGAACTTTTAGAGCAGAAAATATTTTTCATAGGTAAGTCAGGCTGGAAGTCAAGTCATCTTTCAGGTAAACTAGAAATTAACCTTCACAGTAGAAAATACAAAGCATAAAAAACTTTAAGTAACAACCAAGAGACAAAGGGTTCTTCTTGACCAGGAGAGATGAACGACTCTACCAGGTATCTACAATGTCCATAGCTAAAGTAAGATCACGTCTTACCAGAATTCAGAAACTATGAAAAATTATCCATTAATAAGACATGCCTAAGAAAAATATTTTTTTAAATTCAGCTCACAACAGATAAATTTGGCGGTGACAACAAAGAAAGGATAATTCGTGTTACCCAAATAGCATAATAGACACAAGTACCCAGAGCACAGTATTTGACCCCCAGAAGGAATATATACTAATTCTCCCACAAGGATTTCTGTACCATTTCTTTAAATATTAACTGTCTTGGTATATTTACCTTGTATACATGGAATTTTTCAAAAACGTAACTACAGCGACATGAATGTAACATGAAACATTTGAAATATATGTCTCTTGGTTCAGTCACATTACCTATTACAGCAATTAATCCTGGGGTTATTAATAAAACAAACTCCTGATAGAAATACAGCTTACCTTCCTTCCATATTTAGGATACACACCAGCTCATCCTCAAAAAATATCTCTGGGCCCTCAAGATTCTCAATGTCACTGAAACCGTTACAAGGGACCTATGAAGAAGACAGACACACAGAGGCCTCAGTGAGGAGTAGCCATGCTGTTGTCTCTCACACATGCAAGTTACAAGCAAAGCTGTTCACTTCCAAGGAAGTGGTAACACCTCTCCCACACTATCTGGCACCACCCACCCACTAGGGGAGAAAAGGAACCTGTGGGGTAACAGTAATTTGTTCTAATCATATTGTTAGCTGCAAATGAATTATATTTGGAATTTATAGACTGGAATTTCTGAAAGTGATAACCCAGAGTTCTCACCTAAGGAAAAACAACTCTGAAAGGAGGACTAGAAATATAAAAACGGTGTCTTTCACAGTACCTATTCTATGCTGGCAACACTGTATTCAACTAGGAGTCCAGGGCCAGAGAGAGAAGTCTAGGGGTTTAGGTGACTCTGAAGGTCCAGGCATGTTTTCTCCTCTGTAAGCTGAGGTGGTGGTGCCGATGAGCTGTAAGATCCCCCCCCCCTCCACCCCACCTCGGTTTAAAAATTTCATTCCTTTTCCCACTTTTCTTCCGGAAAGTAGGCAGGAAATTTCTTGTCAGCCTGTGTGCATGTGGAAAACACAGGAGCACAAGGGTCCTGAGCCAAAGTCATCTACCCACAGATCAATCCTAGTATAGTCCTGTTATGTTCAAAGTCCTCGACACACTTCTAATCATGCAGAGGGACAGGGAAAGACGGAGCTGGGGGAGAAACACAACGATGCACCATTAGTAGACAAAGGCTGAGGCTCTTAAAATACACACACAAAACCAGCTGGACTGTAAGTAGAGGCTGCAAACGAGTAGCTCGTGTCCAAGTGCACCAAACACATCCAGCACCCCCACGTACGTGTGTGCAAACGAACTTAAACCAGTGTGGAATATCTGAGACTATGAGTGCTTTTAGCCAGCATATGGCTTATTCCAAATAGGACACAAACTCTGGTCATTCTGACATTAACAAACACTTGTTTATAGAAACAAATTACACTGGGGAACACCTAGCTTTATTCTTTTTAGGGAGATACATTCAACTGTGTGCCAAGTTAGAATTTTCCCTTTCAAAACTTGAAAGGGAATGTGTGAAACATTAAATAATAGTAATTAAAATTAAAAATCAGAATTAATGTTCAGTAAATCAGGATAAATCAGACTGGTTCCATCTCTGAACCTCCAATCAGAAATAAAATCTTAGTGCTGTCTCTTTTCCAGAATGTGCAAAAAGTTAAGAATCAGGACCTCATACAGAAACTTCTGTGAGGCATTTTGTGGAAGGGAAACCAAACAAACCCATGCATTTCAGCAACATTAAAAACAAACAAACAAACCCCACAACTTTTCAGAAATAATGAATATGAGATAGTATCACTGAGGGAGTAATAATTCTTGCTTTATGGGTAGCTTTTAATCCTCTGTTACCTTAACAAATAATGCATTCACTACTGGTTTGAACCTGCAAAGCCAGAGAGAACCCTATTAATTTTGTCAACCCTTCTGGGAAAACAACTGGGTGAAATTTGTAGTGTTCGATCATGGATGATACCCCCAATCATGCAGTGACTGCAAAAAATACTGTCTAACCCCCTTAAAAGAGAAATAGTGCTGATCTGGATTCCCTCCACATTGCACTGCGGGTCCCTCCCTCTCTCTCCCTCCCCCCATTCTCTCTGGCTTTAGAAAAGTAATGCTGGCAGGGACAAATGGCTCCGTGTTGTTGGGACAGGGGGAAAGGACACAATGACTCTTGCAGTCATCTAAGTGAGGAAGGGATTGTGAGCGCATTGAAAAGGGAGATAGCAAAAAGAGCTGGATGAGCTAATGCCTACAGACCCAGACGCAGACCACCGCTAGCAGGCAAATGCTTAGAGCTCCATCAACAGATCCTTACGTGCTCTGAAAAGAACCTCTTTGAGAACGAGGCTACAATCTTCCGGGCTTCCAACCCAGCTTTTTGTCGAACTTTGTACTCCTCCAACCAATTGACGTAGTCGGTGGGGCTGTAGTGTTTCATAAGGGAAGGCCACCTACAAGGAGAAAAACACCCCCTCAGCATAACAGAGACGCAAAGGCAGAATAAACATGAATCAAAAGCAGCTTTGGAAAACAGCGAAAACGGTTGGGTTTAGGCATCAGGGGCGGCCCTGGTGAGGGACCCAGTTCAAATCTTCACTCCGCGCGCACGCACTCCCACACACCGTGACCTTGGCTTACCAATATCAATACTGTGTCTCCACTCCCCACTTATAAAATGGGGACAGTCGTAGCAACAACAATCACAGTTATGGCAATCACAGTTAACATTAATTGTGCGCGTCCTAAGAGCCGGGCCCTGTGTAAGGCTCCCCATGTATCAGCTCATCTAACCACCACAGTAAAAGATAGGTCTTCATCACAACACCATTTAAAGTCGATACATGAGGCTCCAAAAAGGGAAGCTGCTACCCCCAAGGTCACACGATGAGTATGCCAGGGCCAGATTTTATCCCGGGTCCTAACCGAAATCTGTGCTCTCGGCCAACCGCCAAAGAGATGCTGCGCCCGTTTCCCTCAAACGGCTGTTAGGATCACTGCATCACCGGGTCCGTGTAAACATTTTAGCACGGAGTCGGGCACAAAAGAAGCGCGCAGGATGGATCAGCGGTGATAACCACGGTCGTCATCCTTGATGGAGGGCCGGGCTGCTGGGCGCTTCCCGAGACGCAATCTCGGTATCCGCGAGTCCGCCTGGCGTGGACGGAGGGGCCAGCGGCCTGGAGGCCTTTGTCTGTCTGTCCGCGGGAAGGGGTCCTCCCGGGGGTGGGGTCCGCGAGCCGGCAGGGAGGCGGCGGCGGCTCAGAGAGAGCTGCCAGGCCGGGGCCCCGGGGTGGGGTGGGGGGCGCGCAGAGAGAAGGGGGAGCGCGGGCTCACCTCACCCGGAACTGCTCCTTCCACACCTTCCCGCTACCCTGGCACAGCTCGCGCAGCCGCCGGCAGGTGCTAGAGACGCGGCCGATGTCGGCGGCCGTCAGCGAGCCGCTACACAGGATGTACTCTAGCACCTCTCCCGGCAGGTTGACGAGGCAGCTGAGGCCCGCCGCCTCGGGCGCGGCCTCCTCCACAAGCGCCGGCACCACCTCCATCGCGCTGTCGACCGCTGCCGCCGCCATCTTGTCCGCGTACCTGGGGCCCTGCGCGCGCGCGCGCGTTCGCTCGCGCCAGGGCGCCCCACTTGGCCCCGCCCACCCGGTTCGAGGGGCGGGCGTCGAGATCCTCCCACGCACCCCCCCCCCCCCCGGCTCCCCACGCCCCGCCCAGGACTGTGGCCACAGCCCCGCTTGGCTCCGCCCACCCGCCTCGAGGGGCGGGAAACGGGGTCCCCCGCCCCTCCTTCGCTCAGGCCCGTGGCCACACCCCCTCAGCCCCAACTGTTCGGGGAGGGCTGCGCCCCTGGCCGAGGGAAGGAAACGCGTCTAGGAAAATAATGGCGCTGTGGGCCTGGGAGCTGTCAGGGGACAGTATTAGTAGCTTCCATCCTCCGCAATAACCCTAAGAACTGTCCTTCCCAAGTTACAGATGGGGAAACTGAGCTTCAGGGAGATAAAGGGATTTGTTGGGAGTCCCTTGTCCTAGATTCTAACCCAGATCTGCTTGACTCTGCTTGACTGGATGCTAAACCAGTATGCTGTAATAATAAAACTCATGAGTGGGTGCTGTGCCAAGCATTTTAAGCACGTTTTTCACGGCCGCCTATGTGAGCCCGGCTGTGATAGGTACCATATTTATATTTGATCTACAGATAAGGAAGACCTAGTTCACAAAGGTGGGCGTACTCATTAGAAGTGACAGAGACAAAAAGTGGTGGAACCTGGATTTGAATCCTCCAAACAGGAGCTCCCATTCAGCTCCAGGCAGGCACTCTCTTTTTTTCGACACCTGCACCTATTTCAGTTTTTCAGCTCAGTTTGGTGCCAGGCCCTGTACTGGGTGCCTTGGGGACACAGGTGGATAAGACAGTGTCCTTGCCTCCCAGGAGTTCAGAGTCCTCCCCTCCACCCCCACCCCCACCCCCAGTTTACCTTGTTTCTTTCCCAGTGGTTTCTGCCTTGGAAAGGGCTACCCATCCATGCATTCCTGCAAAACTGGAAACTGTGCCATCCTTGTTACTTCTCTCTCCCTCACCATCTGGGTCTAAATGCCCAGTAGAGCATAACATCTCCAAGCCTCTGCTTTCACATCTATGAAATGGGGATAACAATAGGTCTTCCTATTAAATGAAACAATGCATGTACATCAGTTCCCACCACTGAGTAAGAAATAAATCCAAAACCGAGGAGATGGAAACAACCTTGTTTCTGGGCTCTTGATTTTGTAGGCCAGGAAATGGTGAAGGGCTTAGCTGGGCAACTTTGAGTTGGAATCAGGTGGTGGCTCCAGATTCGAAGCTTTCAACCACTGAACGTGCTAACCGCTGTTAGATCCCAGAGGAGCTGGAAAAAGGATTGAGCTGTGTGCTGCTTCAGTCGTGTCTGACTCTGTGTGACCCCAGAGACGGCAGCCCACCAGGCTCCCTTGTCCCTGGGATTCTCCAGGCAAGAACACTGGAGTGGGCTGCCATTTCCTTCTCCAGTGTGTGAAAGTGAAAAGTGAAAGTGAAGTCGCTCAATTGTGTCCGACTAGTAGGGACCCCATGGACTGCAGCCCACCAGGCTCCTCCATCAATGGGATTTTCTAGGCAAGAGTACTGGAGTGGGGTGCCATTGCCTTCTCCGGAGCTATGTGCTAGCATATACGATTTCTATTCGGATGCCCAATACAGGTTAAGATTTCTGTGCCTCAGTTACTTCAAAGAAGCTTTTATGGGAGAAAATAGGGAAGCAGTTTCTTGTCTGAATGATCATTCTTAATATCTGTCAAATCTGTCTCTTCTCTCTCTTCAGCCACTGTCTCTGTTCCTATCTCTACTGTGGCTCCTAACAGTCCAGCCCTGGCCCTGAGAAGGTGAACATCAGCCTTGGTAACACTCAGATCTTGGCAGTTTCCAGCCTGTGAGGCAGAAGCTGTTTTTTACGAATGACTCTTGCTTTCTGATCAATGACAAATTAAAATTAAATTTTCCTCTGCCAATCCAGAGACTCCTCCCCAAGTCCTAGGAAAGAAGAACATTTTTATTGTTGAACATGCGTTGAACCAGATGGTGATATACATCACAGGTAACCTGCTAATGAGACCACAGAGAGAAATCCCACCTTTTTATAGACAGCCAAACATTGCATCATGTACATGCTCCCGAGATTAGTTCAGTTCAGTTCAGTTCAGTTCAGTTCAGTCACTCAGTTGTGTCCGACTCTTTGCGACCCCATGAATCACAGCACGCCAGGCCTCCCTGTCTATCACCAACTCCCGGAGTTCACCCAAACCCATGTCCATTGAGTTTGTGATGCCATCCAATCACCTCATCCTCTGTCGTCCCCTTCTCTTCCTGACCTCAATCTTTCCCAGCATCAGGGTCTTTTCAAATGAGTCAGCTCTTCCCATCAGGTGGCCAAAGTATTGGAGTTTCAGCTTCAACATCAGTCCTTCCAATGAACACCCAGGACTGATCTCCTTTAGGATGGACTGGTTGGATCTCCTTGCAGTCCAAGGGACTCTCCCGAGATTAGTGGTGGCTTGTAAATTACCATTCACTTAAAAAGTAAGAGGATCTGAGACTTCTCTGTTGACCTAGTGGCTAAGACTCCATGCTCCCAATGCAGGGGACCTGGGTTCGATCCCTGGTTGGGGAACTAGATCCCACATGCCTCAAATAAGACCCAGCACAGCCTAAATAAATAAATGTGTGTGTTTTTTTTTAAAAGCACTAAAAGGTAAGAGTCTGATCACACTTTCCCTAGCCCAGGTCATGCTAAAGTCACCTGCTAAGTGGAACACACATTATACTACCTGTCTTTGTCTCAAGGAATAATACAATTTCTCATCTTTGTGATAAGCTGGCAGTTACAGTATAAATACAAATGCTCAAACTCCCACATGGCAGGGAGACAAGGACACAACTTTCCTTGACATTTACATTTCAAAGAGATGGCTCCCATGCCCTTAAAAGAAATAGTCCTGGGTTGTGATATTGGCCAAGAGGCTTATTTATTTAGCCTTTGAAAAAATTTGCAAAATGTAGTATAGACACACAGTGGAGTAATACTCAGCCATAAAAAGGAATGAAGCACTGGCATGTGCTACAACATGGGGAAACCCTGAGAACATGATGCTAAGTGGAAGAATGCACATGAGGGACTTCCCTGGTGGTCCAGTGGCTAAGACTCTGCGCTCTCAATGCGTAGGGGACTCAGGTTCAAACCCTGGCCAGGGAACTAGATTCCGAATGCCGCAACTAAAGATCCCATATGTTGCAACTAAGACCTGGTGCAGCCAAGTTAATTAACTTAAAAAAGAAGCCACACTCAAAAGGACAGCTATTGTATGATCACACTTCTATGAAACATATAGAATAGGCAAATTCTTGGAGACAGAATGTAGATTAGAGGTTTACCAGGGGCTGAGAGGGAGAAGAGAATGGGGAGTTCTTGCAGAATGGGTACAGAGTTTCTGTCTAGGGTGATGAAAAAGTTCTGGAAAGAGATAGTGGTTGACAGTTACACAGCATGAATGCCCTCCATGGCACTGAATTTATACTTAAAAATAGTTGAATTGTAAATTTCCTGTTGTGTATAGTGTGCCATAGTATTAAAAAAAAAATAAAAGAACCCACAGAAAAGATTCACATCCCTATGAAAGAGACAGAGGAGGGACTTCCCTGGTGGTCCAGTGGTAAAGACTCCGTGCTTCCAATGCAGGGAGCACAGGTTAGATCCCTGGTCAAGGAACTAAGATCCCACATATCCTGCAGCATGGCCAAAAAAAAAAAAAAAAAAAGACAGTGGAAAGATTTACACATACAGAATTTATCAAGGAAATGCTCTAAGAAAGAAAAGAGGGAATGGGTCTCTTTTCATTTTGGTGACAGGGAAGATTCTAAGTTTTTAATGTACCTTTCTGCTGAACTGCTGACTGTATTTAACCCAAAGATGATCCCTACTACCTGTGTGTGCATGCTATCACTTCACTTGTGTCCGACTCTATGCGACCCTATGGACTGTAGCCCGCCAGGCTCCTCTGTCCATGGAATTCTCCAGGCATGAATACTAGAGTAGGTTCCCATGCCCTCCTCCAGGGGATCTTTCTGACCCAGGCATCTAACCCATGTCTCATGTCTCCTGCATTGCAGGCAGGTTCTTTACCATTAGCTCCACCTGGGAAGCCACCCCACCCCCACTACCTGAGTTCCTATTTAAAACCCCCTCACACAAGCCCAGTCCTTGACTAACCTGGCTCTCCAGAGTTCCTCCTGGGTGCCCTTCCCCTTCTATAGCAAGAGAATATCTTCCTGGACCATCAGGTGTATTTCTGGTTACCTTTGGCTGGAGGACTTCAAAATTCCTTTCCCATGAGACCACCACAGTCCAGCTAAAGAGACTATATCTCAACCTCCTTCAACATCTTCTATGGTTTTCCTTGTTCTCAAAATAAATCTTCTATGGTTTTCCTTGTTCTAAAAATAAATAAACGCATCCTTTCTCTTCTGGTCCAGGCCCTAGATTCTCTCTCCTAACTGCTAATCCAGGGCTACTTTCCTGGACTGTCTGAAGCTCCTACTCATCCTTTAGCTTCAACTCAAGAACTTGCCTCCAGGAACACAAGCCTGCTGATCCCAGACTAAGCCTGCTTCACTCTCCTGCCCTCGCAGAACCCCTTTCATTCATTCGGTACTTAGTTCAGGTGGTAAAGAATCTGCCTGCACTGCAGGAAACCCTAGTTCAATTCCTGGGTTGAGAGCATTCCCTGGGGAAGGGATAGGCTACCCACTCCAGTATTCTTGGGCTTCCATGGTGGCTCAGACGGTAAAGAATCCGCCTGTAATGGTAGAGATCTGGGTTCGATCCCTGGGTGGAGAAGATCCCCTGGAAGAGGGCATGGCAACTCCAGTATTCTTGCCTGGAGAATCCCAATGGATAGAGGAACCTGGTGGGCTTCAGTCTGTGGGGTTGCAAAGAGTCAGATATGACTGAGCAACTGAGCACACACATGCTCCTAAACTGCTGTAACACATACACTG